TATCAGTGAGATCATATGATACATGTAATTATGGTAGTTCTTACAGCATCGAGGTAAATGACTATTCTTCCATAATCACATTACGGTGTTGTTTTTTTTTTTAAGATTTATTTATTTATTTGAGAGAGAGAGAGTGTGAGCACGAGCAGGGGGACGGGCAGAGGAAGAGAAAGAATCTCAAGCAGACTCACCACTGAGCGCAGAGCCTGACATGGGGCTTGATCCCACCACCCATGAGATCGTGACCTGAGCTGAAACCAAGAGTCAGATGCTCAACTGACTGAGCCACTCAGGCGCCCCCTCACGTTAGGGAGTTTTTAGAGTTATGTTCTACATCAGGACTGTCCTTCACCCCTCTCAGAGGGGAGAAAGGGAGAGAGTGTGAGTGGGTGTGTGATGGAAATGTGGCGGCAGACAGAGCCAGATAGGAGAGAAGGTGGTAAATAAAAGCTCTTGGTGAGTACTTTACTTATAAGCTGTAACCATTTCCTAGATGGATATTACTGGAAAATTAATCTGACACTGCTTAGAATCAGAGAAAGTAATAATTCATGTTTCTGCTTGTTACAGGGGAACTTAGCAAAATTTGTTTGAAAGCCAAACTTCTGTAGGCAGTTATTAAAGAAATATGTGCTGATGAAATAGTCTCTGAAGTCACTTTTGGGACTGATTCATAACATTTTTAGAGGTGGATGAGGTTAGGTAACTTGTCCAAGATTTTATAGACTGGAATAGATTAAAGTACATGTTTCTTACTGCTAGTTCGCTGCTTTATCTACCTTGCCATGAGAAATAACAGAGTATCTTAAAAGCCACCCAAAAGGTCTCTGGGGCCCTTGACTGATGACCTATGCGGTGGCCTCTAATTCAGACAGCAGAAGAGTTAGGTTAGAGGTAATGGATGCGACACATGTTGCTGGAACAACACTAGAAGTAAGCAGACAATGCACTGATGCTTCAGAATTCTGAGTGAAAATTATTTTCGACCTAAAATTCTAGCCGTAGTGAAATTATAAATCAAGTATGAAGGTATATTGGAGACGTTTTCATTCCTGCAAAATCTCAAAACTTTTAACTCCTTTAGTTGATATTATTAGTGGCCTATCCAAAATCTTTTCCAACCCTAAGAAAACCCTGATTTTATATGGAATTAACTCCCTGACCATTTAACTGAGGAGATAATGTCCTCATACCAAGCTACGAAAGTGGATCCTGATTAACCGAGGCTGATCAAAGTCATCCCTGTCACTGTCACCTCTGGCAATTGGCTTAAGAGTGAGCATGTGATTCAATTCTGAAAAGGAGAGGGGACAATGATGAGATGCTAGTGAGCATCTGGGCTCCAGAGAAAGAGTCCAGGAAATGCTGGGCCCTTGGGACACTGTCAATTCTGGCTCTGATGCAAGAAAAAGCTGCAGCCGCCCTGTCACTAGCCGGATGATGCAGGAAGACAGGGAGACAGAGCTGAAGCCCACTCTTCCTCTGAGGTCCCTGTAATGTGAGATTATTCCCATTCTCACTGTTGGCACTCCTATGAATTCCAGGGTCCGGTCACCTGCAATCAAATGCACAGAAGGCAGGATGAGAGAATTCTTAGGCTGATGGTGAAGGCAGGTGTCGGGACAACAGCTGTGTGCAGCAGGCCTAGGGAGCAACCAGCGCCGACACGCAGGACAAAGGGCTCCAGGAGGAACGATTCCAACAAGAAGTGGAACCAGCAGTTCAATCACGTGGAAACATGTCTAGAGAGGTGTTTTACAAAGCTGCTGGAGGGTACAGGGAGAGTCAGATACAGACTCAAATAAAAGAATGGAATGAAACAAGGCAACTACTGCTTTCAAAAACACAAAAAACAAAAAAGTTGTGAAAGAAAGAAAATGCACTTGTCCTCATACCTGGCTCATGATTAAGCAAGAGTTACTGGCAGTAACAGTGAAAACTATGATGAGGAATGAGGCAGAAAGAACCTGGAATGAGTACACTGGGAGGTTAAAGCAGGAAAGCTGAAGACTCCCATCCAGCTCAATGAGAAGCCCGACAGTAATGTGTCAAGACAATGAACCAAGAGATGGGCAGATAAGCGTCTTACTGAGAGATACGGAAGAAAGCAATGAAACAGTTGAAAGTAGCTGCCTTGGGACTGGATGGGGAGGAGTCATGGAGGGAAGGGAAAGAAGCAGGGGTCTCCGGCCTGTTAGCATGAGCCTTTTCGCATCATTTACTGTTTAAAATTATGTTCATGAATATAAATTTCAATCAATAAGATAAAATGCCAGAACCCTTACAGGTTGGTAGTCAGTTCACGTAAATGCTTATCACTGACGCTTCCCTGCTGGTGAACTCTTGTTTATCCCACTGGATTTTAGCTTATAAGCTCCTCCTGTCACTTTGGATGCAGATTAATAGACATGAAACTGCTTCCATGAGAAAATTTATGATGTGTTTTTCAAGACTGCATGGTGGTGAAAGGCAAGGATTGCCTAACATTACATTTATCTCAGGTCCAGGGCTTTGTTTTATTTGGGCCAGTCGCCTGATTTCTTTTTCAGGTTCATCTTTATTACTTTTCCAAAATAAAATTTGGACTCTGGAGTGTCTTGGGTAATGGATTTTTCCATTGTAGCACACCAACTGTGTAAACCATCACTGGCCCACAGGTTGGGAGCTTAAAAAAATTACTACTGAACAGGAAAATAAAATTATACTAAAATTGACTATATTACTTACAGCACTTGAATTTATTTCTGTTGGCTAATGATGTTCTTTTTCACGAAACGTCTCATTCTTGTGACAGTGGTGCAGTGTGGGAAGGCTAGGAAAAATAGTGTAGATCCCACATACCAGTTCTAGCAGAGTGGGACAGAACCTGCAAGCAGATTCTATGATTCTAGGCTCAGTTCAGCCCCCACCCAGGTGGCCCACATGGGCAAGCCACTTGACCTGACATTCAGTTTCCTTGTCAAGTTAAGATAAAACAAATGTCCAGTATTGAATACTGGGGATGATATTTGGGGAAATACATCAGACATTTTTAAAGATGACTAATATACTTGACTGTTAGGGCATCTTTCCTGGGATGGATCTGAGAGTAAAACCTACATGTCCCCCCCGACCCCATCTTCTTCTTGTAGAAAAATGAGGTAAAGAAAGACCAGAGAAGTGCTCAGAGATGGCAAAGATAAAGGTAAATTCTACTTGACCCTAAGCTTAGAGAAAATGAAGTCAGACAAATGTCATTTAAAATCAACGTTCACAGCTTTTATTTTTAATAAGCAGTAAGTTCATGTATTCATGAATTCTGAGTTATCAAACATGAAAACAACCACAGTCTAGTTGTACTTACTGCAAGCGTACTTCATACCTGGATCCTCTTTGCTTTCATCCTCACTGACCAAGAATCCCATGTGATAGTTTCCCACCTGTTGTAAGTAACTTTTTTCTAATTCACAAACTGGTGGATAATGGGTGACAAACAGGGTTAAGGATTTCACCTAAAGCAGTAAGACATAACAAACGTTACTTTATTTTTATATTTATTTATTTATTTATTTTTAAAGATTTTATTTATTTGTCAGAGACAGAGAGAAAGAGAGAGAGAGAGTGAGCACAAGCAGGGGGAGTGGCAGGCAGAGGGAGAAGTAGGCTCCCCGTCGAGCAGGGAGCCTGACGTGGGACTTGATCCCAGGACCCCGGGGTCATGACCCAAGCCAAAGGCAGACGCTTAACTGACTGAGCCACTCGGGCGCCCCCGTTATTTTATTTTTAAATTTTACTTTATCAATTTGGCCCATTATTGGGGATGTTAAATTTGCTTATTTGGTTTAAGTGAGTGCCCAGGTTTCTCTACTATACCGACACCTATCTCCTTGGTAATTAATAACTTGTGGAGTAATACTTTTGAGATTGTGTGAATATCCTTTTTTCCAACAATCTTTCATCTCAAAGTTTTGCCATCTATGGATCATCATTGCCTGATGATATGGTGACTAGTAAATGCTGATTTAAAAAAATTCTCTCAGTATTTATTAGTTGGCATTCTATAAAGAAGAGCTTTCTTTTCTCCCCACCCTACTGCCACCATTTTAAAATTTATTTTTATTTTGTTAGTATTAATATGCATTTACGGATTCTTTAATAAGCATTATTTTAAAGCACACATTATTATGTATTCTAGAAATCCCTTATTTCTTAAATCTTAAAAGAAGCTAACATCAAATCTCGGTCTAAAAATTAGCAGAAGGGATGCCTGGGTGGCTCAGTCAGTTAAGGAGCTGACTCTTGATTTCAGCTCAGGTCATGATCTCAGGGTCCTGGGATCAAGCCCTGCCTTGAGATCCATGCTCAGCGGAGGGTCTGCTTGAGGAATCTCTCTCTGCCCCCCACCCCCACCACTCGCACATTCTCTTTCTCAAATAAATAAATCTTAAAAAAAAAGATAAAAATCAGCAGAAGAGGGTAATTAAACCAAAGAACTTCAGTTTTGTTTCATCTGCCATTCACCTCATTAAAAGTCAGAACATGTGCCATCTCTCGTATAACAATTACAATAAACCTCTTAAGGCAGGATTTCTTTGATGAGCTGCTCTTAGAATCTGCCCTGAAGTATCTGTGGACCAGCTGTCTCCAGGATGCCCCTTCCCTGAGCTGACAGGCACTTCTTGCCAGAAGACCTAAGGGTTTGGGCCACAACACTGCTCTCCCCAAGGCCATTTTCGGCCTGCAGCTGCAACACAGAGCCTCCCCATTCCTCCTCTCTGCTCTCTCTTCCCTATCCCAGCAATCAAAAGACACCATGAAAATACAGATTTTCATCCATAAAAAGGGTAGAGATTCTTTGCTCCTGAAGAATCTTCTTTAATGACTTACCTCTAACATAAATTTTATCTAAAAATAACACTTTCTTCATTAACATTTAAAACATCAAAAAACTGCTATAGAAGCAATGAGAACAGAAGTGACAAATTTAATTCTGTCATAATTTGTTCCTGAGGGTTCTTAGAGGAATCTTTAAAATATCGCCAAACTGCTTTTGGCAGTCAGCCTCCAGCATGGCCCCAAAGTTCTTTACCTCCCAATGTTCGTGCTCTTGAGCAGCCTCTTCCCATAATGAACCAAGGCTGGCTGTTGTGCTCAACAGAGTATGATGGTAGTGACAGTGTGTGGCTTGTGAAGCTAGGTCATAAAATGCAGAAAATAATCTGGCCTCTTGGAATGCTTCTTCTGGGGGAAGCCAGAAGCCACTCAACATTCAAACAGCTCTATGGAGAGGTTCACAGGGAATGGAAGTGAGAGCCCTGGCCAACTACCAGCACTGATTTGCCCCAGAGAGTAAGCCACATTGGAAAGGGTCCTCCAGCCCCAGTCAGGCCTTCAGATGAAGGCAGCTCTGGCTGACAACTTGACTGCAACCTCAGGAGACAGCCTGAGTCAAAATCACTCGGCTAAGGTGCTCCCAAATTCCTTAACTCCAGACACCATGAGAGATATAACAGATGATTATTGTTGTTTTAAGCCACTTAGTCTTGGGGTCATTTGTTATGCAGTCATAGTAACTGATACGCAGCTCTAGAGTAGGAACAATGAAATCAAGCTCAGAGGTGGCAAATTCAGTCTGTCGTAATTCGTTCCTGAAGGCTCTTATGTCAATGTTTAAAATGTGTTTCGGAGGCAGGGACAGGACTTACTGAACCTGTGATATGCAGTCTCTACAATAATTAAAGAGACATTCCTGAGCTCTATCTTTTTGCAAATAAAGAATTTTTTTAAAGAAAAATTAAAAGTATTTATTTTAAAGTAGAAAACATTAACTATGTAATCTAACTAAACATCATTAACTATGTAATCTAACTAAATGTTCAAACACAAAACTGAGGCCCACAGAAGTTTAAAGGAAAGGGGAGTTATTTTTGCATCCTGTGCTGTGCAAAGAAATAGGAGTAAAAAAATATGCTTTTATTGGTTATGTAAGGAAGAAAAAAAGAAATGAAAATGGAGGAAAGACACAAAGGGAACAGTTTAAAAAGTGAAGAACAAAATACAGAAAGAAAAACCAAAGAACCAACAAGGTTCAGGGCAGGTGCCAAGAAGGAGAGTCAGAAGGGGAGAGACCAGAATGAACAAAGAGAGAGAGCATTAATAAAGGGGAGAGTTTGATGGAGATGGAGGGATGGAGCGTTTAACACAAACAAAACTTCATAAGGAGATGCTCAGAACTGCAATCTGGAAAAAACAGATATGCATTAAAAGAGTGAAACAGAAAGACACAAAGACATGAGATTAAAAGCCTACTATCGAGGTCCTGTAGGATACTGCTGAAAAAAGGATTTCATAGGTTAAAAATGGCTCTATCTCCTTTCTGTTCTTTCCTTAAGGACTGGTTGCAGGTTGGGTGGGGAGTGTCCCTGCTTTTGATTTAGAGTTTGCCAAGGAAAATAAGAAACAGTTCTGGGGGGGAAATATTACCAGAGAGGCCTTTATCCTACTGACCAGGCTTATTTGGCTTCAGCAAAAGCAAAGAAGACAATTCAAAGAATTACAGACATGACGTAGGGCCAGTCCATCTAAGTTCAATGTATAGTGTTTCAGTGGTCAATTGCAGGTATAGGGTCACTTATAATAATTAAAGATAATTTTGAACATTTAGAAGCTGAGGCCAGAAAAATAATTTGTATACTATGCATCATTCACATACAAAAAGGTACGCAAGATACTCACATCTCTAATAAAATGCTCGAGTGTAGCATAAGCAATGGCAATTCCATCATGGGTGCTTGTCCCTCTTCCCAATTCATCCAAGATAACCAAGGACTGGGATGTTGCTTGTCTTATTATTTCTGCTGTGTCAGTCAGCTCTTCCATAAAGGTACTCTGTCCTTTATATATATTATCTGCAGCACCCATCCTACAAATAAGATGAAGACACCTTGATTTTTTTCCTCTGAATTTTATTATTAGGAAGCCAAGTATTACTTTAGGAACAATAAAGGATCCCTGAGGGTCTATATACTTTATGCCAATAATAGCTGAAATCATATTAAACAAAAATAAACATGTGTTAGATATAAAAGAGTGCCTAACATCAAACTGCACCCTGTAGAAACATTGTGGATGGAGTCTGAGAGATTGGACAGAGATTCCAAAAAGTAGGGAAACCTGACCCTACCTTCTGAGCAATCATTCCAAACCAAAGTTGTGGTATTCCCAAGGGAAAATACTGCCTCTCTGTGTTTAAAAAAATCCATGAGTACTAGAAAATTATAGAATTAAAGGGTTTTGTCCCTAGTCTTTCCTAAAGAAGATTCCACAGTGTATGACAAATTATAGTATCACGTTGAGATAATTTATTTATATAAGCTAAAATTTTTACTAGGATTATAAATGTTTAGTAATCTCAGACACCTAAAACAGGTTCCTAAAGTGGACTTCATGGAACACAGTTCTTAAGAGATGTCAAGAAATGGGTGCAAAAGATGTAAGGGTTTCTTTCCTGTAAGATTTCCATGATCCTTTAATATTATACTACACACTATGTATTTTCTAGAGAAGGATCTACTATACAGCATTTCTCTAACTCATTTAACTGTGGACCCCTAAAACTCCCAGAGCACCTTGTGGCAATAATGGTCTACAGAACATATTTGGGGAAATGTCTATTTAGTCCAAAAGGATTCTGGAAAAAAAAAAAAAAAAGTGTGTGTGGGGTAGAATCATTAAGCAATACTCACTCAAGGTCATGCAGTTAATAGCAAAACTTAGAATTCAGGTTTTCGACCCGCTAACCAGCTTTGTGAATTCTGGTTAACTATTTTCTTAGCAAAATACCTTCATCAATGTAGTTTTGCTCTAATAGTTCACCTGTGACCTACAGTAGCATAATGTACCTTTTCTTTTTGGAGAAACTCATGATGAAATCCAGCCTTAACCATCCCCGGACTGGAGCCTTGTACTGGGCAGGGAAGATGGAGTACATTGTTTTTCCCACAGATTGATAGACCCTTAGGAGAACTGCTCCAGGAATCAGTGTCATTTAGAAACTGTATGTAACTCCATCTAGGATAACTCTACTATAGATGGGATTATTAAGGTTTTATAGAAAGTGTTTAATTTTATCCACTTTAAAATCAATAACTTTAAAACATAATTTCTGAAATGTTGTTAACTTATGAGCATTCTGGTTACTTCCTTAAAGTTCAAATACTATTATTTATATCAATTTCCAGTGTTTAATAATATTTCTCCCCACCACAAAGGTTAAACTTTCCTATCTCTGAAACCATTCTGAATTCTCTAGAATGGTAATGTTTGACCCCCATTAAACATGGTTGCTTTTACTCCCTACAGGTTGCAAGCTGACGAAAAGAATGAATCTTTAGCGGATAACGAAGTGCTCTGAGATAAGGCAAATGTTGGGGGGGAAGGGTCTTTGATTCTCAAGAATTAAAAAATAAGCAAGCACTAAGTAAGATTTTAATACAATAGTCTAAGTATTATACTTAAGTGTTTTCTAGAAATAGTAGGGTAACACAGTGGCCTGGCTAGAAATTTCATGAACTGTAGGATGCTCTTGGGAAGATATTTTTAGGCAGATACACACATACACATATAAAACATTTAGTATATGACAAGGGAGAGATTTCTAATCAGTAAGGGAGGAAAAGATGAATGATCAATCCACAAAAAACATGCCAGCTAGTTGGTTATCTTGAAAACAAAACAAAACAGATGTGCCCCTACTCAAACCATATTCCAAAATAAAATTATATGGATTTAAAAGCTTAATGTAAAAAAAGAAACCATAAACATACCAAGAGGTATAAATGAAATTTAATCTCTGGATAGGCAGATGGGTGGCTTTATAAACTTAGCACACCAAAACATGTGTACAGCAAAAAAACACATAGGAAAAAGTTAAAGGCAAACCACAAACTGACACAAATAGTTGCTACATTTATAAAAAAGGGTTAATATTCCTAAAACAAATATTCTCATAAAGCAAAACAAAATGGTGAACATTCCAACAGAGACAGGCAAAGGACAGGAAGAATCAATTCACACACACACAAACTCACGAAAATATTCATATATTATGCAAGTTCAAACAGGAATAAAATGCTGCTTTATATATATGAATTAGCAAAGAGATGAAAAAGAATGATGACATCTACCACTGTCGAGAGTGTAGGGAAAAGGGTATTCTTATGTGAGACTGAGAGTTGTTACAGTCTCCCAAAATGCAATTTAGTAATGTCTGTCAGAAGTCTTTCACAACCCATAAATTTTACTCTAGGAATTAACACTATGGAAATTATCGCAGAGGTATGAAAAATGCATGTATAAATATATTCCTTAATGTTGTCCAGTGAAAAACTGGAAAAACCAAATGCCTAAAAAAAAAGAGAGAGCAATAATACTATGATGGAAAACTCTGCAACCAGTAGAACTAGCATGTTTGAATTTATGACATGGGAAAATGGTCACAACATACCTTATGTGAAAACACTAGGTCACCAGAAAGTGTCTAGATTTAGCGGAGGGACCTGCTAGGGCAACAGGCCTGCCCGACTGCTGAGGAAGCACATGCCAGGGCTAAGAACACCTGAGGTAGTGTTCCATTGAGACACTTGGACAGCATCCAAAATTAAAGAAAAATCTGAGGAGAGCTGAGGAACACCGACAGGAGGAAAGAAAAGAACTGAGAACAACCAACAAAACAACGACCACAGAGGAAATGAATAAAAATATAATTCACTAAACAGAATTAAAACAAACAAAACCTCTATTTGGTGTCCTCAGAGAGATTAAGAACACTGCCGCCTTAAAATAAAACAGCCTACCAAAAAAAGGAACAGCTGGAGAACAAAAACTCTTGTAAATTAAAAATATGATGACCGAAAAAATTCACTGTATAGGCGGGATTAAAATTAGATCCCGTGGAGGACCAAGATTTTAATCTGAAAGATAAATTCAAAGAAATCTCTGAGCCCAGTAAACAGATCAAGAAATGAAAAATACACACAAATAATTTTAACACAGCCAGTTCGTGAGGGTTTAAAGCCCACCCAATAGGAAGTGCAGAAGGCAGACAGTTGTATCATAGAAGAAATTACTGCTACACTGAAATAAGACATGCATCTTCAAATGGAAAGCTTCCACAAAATGACAAGAGTATTAAGACAAGACTTACGCGTAGAAACATACAGGTAAAATTTTAGATATGACAGAAATTTTTTTAGAACTCCTCAACACTTCAGAGAGAGAAAAAAAACATTCCTAACAAAAGGATGAGAATAAGATGCCATAAAAAAAAATAATAAGATGCCATCAAACTGCTTATCTATAATCAATGCCAAACTAGAAGATAAGGGAGCAATTCCTTTACATTTAAAATCTGGGAGTTTATATTCATTTAAACTTGCAAAACAGATAGGAGGACAAAATAAAGCTTATTTTAGACTTTCAAGAACTCAGAAAATTTGCCACCGTGAGTCCTCATGAATAAACTGCTCAAAGACAGAGAGAGACCAAAAAGGGAAAAGAGCATTCGAGAAGAAAACACAAGATACAGGGAATAAGAGAAGTGAAAAAGCTAGAAAGAAATGAGAATTTTAGACTGGGATGCTTAGGAGGAGCCCCTCTGACAGTCTAACACCTTAAGAATTACATACTTTTTAAGCTTTCAAGTGAATGTGGATGTAACATATACACAAATCCTAATAACGTAAATGCTGATTATTGGGTCCTTCCATTTGTAAACTAGCCTATGAAAAAGAACCAGATAATTACAGCAGGACAGATGAGAGCTTTTGGAAAGGTAAAGGTAAGAACAGTTTTAAAATTAGGAAAGCTCATGGAATGATAAATGATTTCTTTGTATTTGTAGCCAGTTCAACAGCTACTGTCTAAAGTAAATCCATCTAAAATCAGAGTGAGGAATATTTTACAGACGTTGTAGGTTAACTACCAGCAGAACAAAAGTGGGACCCCTCGGAGTGACTGCTCTGAGTGCAAAGGGCTAAGGTCCAGTGCCAGAGGGCCTGGGGGGTTGGGAGGAGCCTTTCAGTTTTCAATTGTGTGCCCCCTGTACTGTTTGAGTTCCCTCCTATTGTGACTGGCATTGCTTCTGTAATCATAGTTTTTAAAAAAAATGTTATGTCGTTTTTATTAAAAACTACCTGTGCAGAAAAAAATATTGAAGCTTATCAACATGTTTAGAGTTATTGTCTCAGGGTTGGGAGAATTACTGGTCATTTGGTGACCCTTTCTCTTCCTCCAAACACCTAGCAAAACATCTGGTACAAGGATGGAGAATGATAGAAGAATATTAAATAATGTCTTCTTTCCTAACTCCAGGGATTAAGACATTTTAGGCAACAGTGGCCTAATATGGCTGCTAACAAGATTCTATGCTTTTTAAATGTCCATTTCATTACCATCATTGAGGTACCTTTAGAAATCAGTTCAAAATAAAATATAGAGTTAATAATTATAGATAAATGTATACATAAAAGTCAGTAATTTAAGTTTACATTTAAAGAAGCAAGTCACATTTTATACAATAGAGATGTTCAGAAAGGCTGAGTTTTAGTCACTAGAAATAGGTGAATTCTTATTTTAGGCTTTAGGCCTTGAACTTGAACTCTCTATATATCTATCTCTTGGCATTAAAAAATTAGCTGTCACATTGAAAAAGGAAGTTCTGGCCTAGAAGATGGAGTGAAAACTTTTAAAAAGTCATGCAATTTATAAATTATGTAATGTAGCTAAATATGGTAGAAAAGTAGTAACTTGAGGGAAGAGACCAGCGCTCTAGTCCTGGCTTGGCCACTAAGTACCGTGTCATCTTAGCCAAGTTAAGTAACTTTCCTGTGTGGTCCTAGCTTCCTCATCTGTGCAATGGGGAGG